GCAACAGTTAATGTGCTTAAGATTTCTGTCGCCCCCTCTACCTTCAGGATTATGTGGGTCAGGTCCTCAGATTAAGGTCGTTGTAAATGCTCCAGGGGACCAAGGCAAAAACAGGACAATGGGTGGTTGACATTCTCTTAGTTAACTATTGTTGTATTACACATACTGATACAGATAACTGATACCTGATTTTTTTTTAACGAGTACAACTTTTTAAATCAAGGTTCTCTATGTTAACATTAATTCAATAGTTAATGCATCATGAAATAACAAATGATATTAAAACTATAAATGTACAGTTCTTTCAAAGCATTTATTAATCTTGTTTAATGTTAATTTCAACATATACTGATGCATTTGAAGTAGTATCATTTAACATGAATGCATTATGAACGAACATGAATTAACAACGAACAACAGTAAGTTAACATTAACCTAGACTAATAAATGCTTTAAAAAATTTTGTTTATTGTTAGTTTATGATATCTAATGCATTAACTAATGTTAACAAATTGAGCCTCAATGTAAAATGTTAGAAAGAAAACATTTCACATACTAATTTCCAGTTATTAGGCTACTAAAATTAACACCGTTGATGTTTTACTTTTGAAAACATGTTTTGAATATTACACCAAATAATATTTAATTACACTATAAAAGAATAACTAAATAAGAAACTTCATCCAGCATAAATCTACAGGTCTTGGCATTTTGATGTTCTTCAGAGATGGTTTATTGTTTTGTTTTTTTATTTATTTATTTATATTTTTTGTGTGTGTTTGAATACAAGAAAATTAGGACATTTTTTAATCATGTGTAATTGTTTTTAATTTAACTTATGATGACATATGGCTTATTTTCCGATAAATTACCAAAAATCTTCACTACAGACACAAAACTTTCACACTTAACCAGTTGTTCCACTATTCCTGTATTGACCCAATTGTTTTCACATTATTTCATTTTAAAATTAGGATTTCATTACTATTTTTTTTTTTTAAGTTTGAAAAGAGAAAACATCATGGAGGATCACTGCAAATGAGTATTTTCATGCTTTGAGTACTTACTGATCTCTGATTTTGTTATATAATCTTTGGACATTTAATAGATCATGTCGTGTCATGTCAACCACCCACATTCCATTTACACTTGTCCTGGATGGTCACACAGATGTCAGATATCTCCATGAATACCCACTGCAGAGGATTTCCAACCACCTGACTAACCCGTTGAGCTCTGAGCTTATAAATATGCAGAAAAAAACTTCCTCCAACCTATTTCAACAGTATCATTACTTTGGTGAGCTGAGAGTCATCCATCAATCTAGTACTTCGCCCCTACGGTTAACTTTTTCACCAGATTTATTTAACTCCAAAACACCAGAATCAAGCCGGCAGAGGAAAGCAGGGTGAGCGAGGCCAACACGTTTTTTTCTCCTTAGGGACTCCATATGTTTCGACTGCTAAAATAGCTCAGCTCTAATTGCTGCTGGGATATGTGAACAGGTTGTAGAGGTGGAGAACGGATAGCACATCCAGTCATGTCTTCATCAGTATGTGGAGTCATGCTCTGCAATGTTCCACTCGCTTCATTCTAATGAAACTAATCAGCAATTTACGGCAATCAGATATACTGTATTCCAGATGTTCTTTCTGTAGGCTTCTGCAGCGAATGCTTGCAGAAAAGGTGAAGAATGTGCTGAATACGTGGAAAAATGCTGTGCAGATATCGTCTGGAAACACTCTTTCCAATTCACCCTCCCTCTGGGCTCATATACACACTTACACCTCAGAATGCAGACCTCAGTACTGCAGATAAATGGACAGAAAAACAGGTTCAACCCCACTGAGAAACAAACACCTCCATGTGAGACATCTGCACGAGAGTCATGCTCACCACTAAAATCCCCTAGAGGTGGCCTACCATCCAGTGAGATGTGAAAGTTTAGTTATGTCAGAGTAACTTTTGTCTTTCCACTGTGTCTTATTTCTGCTTCCCTTGCTTTCCCTCCCAGCACACTTTCCTCTTTTCTTTCTCTCTCTCTGCGACTCACTTAAAGCCATCTGCACTGTAATTCAATCATCACAGTAAGCAGTGGAAGTAATGATTACTTGGATTAGCTACAGGGCTCCAAGCCACTGTCTTAATATTGACTGGCAGTGAGTGCAAATATGAGCTCAGCCAGCAGCTTCGTTTCACTTTTTGGGGGAAGTTTTATGAGGTTTTCTGAACTCCCCTCATCATACTGCCAATATTTACAAGATACATGCATGCTATTTTAAGACAGACAGATAGATCGATCATAATTTGCAATGTGGCAATATTGTACATAAATAAATACTGAGTGAGTACAGAAGTATGCACTACCATGTGCACACATGGATAACAGCATACAAAACTCAATTAACAAACAATTTTAGATTTAAAAACTCTGAACATTACAGAGCATTACAACCAAGTAACAACAACAAAATAAACCAGCAAATAGTATGCAAATGCAACTGCATAATTTATGCCACAACCTAAGCACCAGCACAGGACACCAAACTATTAGAATCAATCTTTAAATGTGTTGAGAAATGGAAGATTACTATAATGAATAGTAATATTCATTATAAAAATAGAATTAGAGATAATAATTGTAATTCTACAGCACAGTGCTGCTATATTTTCTGCTCTTGTTCAATAAGAGGTCATTTAATTGTAAGGAAACTAAATGCTGTACTAATATAAATGTACTAGTACCAGCTAGAAATACACTGTAAATTAATACTAAAATGTTTACAAATGTACAGGTGCATCTAAATAAATTAGAATGTCGTGGAAAAGTCCATTTATTTCAGTAATTCAACTCAAATTGTGAAACTCGTGTATTAAATAAATTCAATGCACACAGACTGAAGTAGTTTAAGTCTTTGGTTCTTTTAATTGTGATGATTTTGGCTCACATTTACACAATTTGAGTTGAATTACTGAAAAAAATGAACTTTTACACGACATTATAATTTATTGAGATGCACCTGTATAAAGGAACGACTATCTGCCGTCTTCTGTCAATGTTTCTATGTTTAAGAATCATTAGAATTTCCAGAGTATATACCAAAATGTTCTCAAAGCCAAAAGGTCTTGCTACCAGCCACACTTGATTGTTCAAAGCTATAGTCAATATTATCTTGAACGAATAAGCTTTGGTTTTATCAAAATAGGATTTTTGTACAAAACAGATGCAGGTGCCATATTTCAGTCGATTGACCAAAACTTTGTTACAGAGCCCAGACAGCATCCAGCACAACCAATCACTGTCAAGCAGGAGACTGCAGTTGCTGTGACGGGAACTAATTGGCTTCTGGGTAGCTTTGTGTTTCCAATACAGAGGTAGAGCTTTAAATAAAATCCAACCAACGCTTTCACAAAGGTGTATCACTCTCTGTTTGAAGAAGCTGATGCATTGTTTTTGTGTGAAATGCATTAACTTGTCTGTAAAGCTCTACTGCGTTTCATGAATATATGAACTCAACACAGATTTTCATAAAGGCAGCTCTCAAAACACCTATATTCTTCATAATATAAGTGAAATTACTTACAATAATCAACCATGTCCTGAAATAACCAAATATAAAAGACATAATACTCCAAGATTATATCACAGTCAGTGTTTTTTTCCCCACAGAGCAGCCTCACACATATTCAGTGGCAAAAAGCTGTCATAGTTTACAGCATGAATGTACGTGTTGCTTCGGTGGCACAAAGCCAAGTGATGAAGCTCACTGGCAGCTCATTCCCCTCTCTTCTATTGTGAAAGTGCAGTGATGTGGATGCACCTCATGCTCGTTCACCCCATCATTACAGGGGGCAGTGTTTAGCCGAGCAGGAGTGTGCTGCTGCCACACTGGAGAACAGGCAGAGGGGGGAAAGGAGACGAGCGCCAAGACAGAGCCTGGTGTTCAGAAGAGCATTGTGATGGCCGTGGCTCTCTGCCTTGAGCCCCCGGGGTTATTCTAATCCGAACACGCTCGACGGAGACAGGCATGCAAGACAAAGAAATCTCAGTCGAGCTGTTGTGTGAGATGCTGTTGATAATGTCACAGATGTGGTGGAGGAGAGACCAGATAGAAAGCAGACCAGCACAATAAATTATAAAGTGCAGCCACCTCAGTTTGTGGTATTCAAAGCAGAACATCAATGAGAAGCTCAATCCAGGTGGGCATATGAATGTTCACACTTGCTTTTCAACTGAATATATGAAACTGCCAAGCAAATCAGGGTCTCACTGGGGGATTCTTGTTCCTCACCATGTCAGGCGGATGATTTTTTTCCCCCATTTCTCGATTACAAAAATATTTCATGTTTACCAGACAGCTGTGTCTAGAATTTTCTGCCTCTTGAAAAACATTCATTTCCAAAACAAGCTCATTAATGTTCATATAATTCTCATGCACAAACAGCATTCATTGACATCTGAATGCCCCTTTACGGTGAAAACATCAGGATAACTTGCACATTGCAAATCAAGTGAATAACTCAGAACTTAAAAAAAAAAAAACATTCATTGATAAACAATCGTGAATTCAAACAGATGTGATGTTCATCAGGATCGGTTGTGTTCCATAATCACATGACAAGTCGGGAACACCACAGTATCCAACATTGGGAACCCTCTTTCCTGCTGAAAAAGACCAGCTCAGTCCAGTAATGAATTCCCATACTGGTATAACTGGTGGACCACCAAAACCAAGATGTTCACCAAGATGACTGACCTTGATGGTAAAGCTAGTTAAGAAGCTTGATGAGGACATCAGCACCCAAAACACAACATTTTTTGGTCTTTTCAACAGCTTGAGTGAAATCCTGAACATCTCTAGCCATAATTAAAGAGTAGGGCAAGTGTTTGCCTTCTCAACTGAAAGAAGATCCACCTACTCACGATCTCTCTTGCCTCTATCAGCCATAACATGGCAAGCAATAATGTAAACGCTTTTTTATAATCAAGCAAAACCTACTTGCTTTCCCAGGTTTGGGCCTCTGCAGGAGCTTCTGCACCGTCATCAGGTCCTCAGTCTTCACCGCTTGAAGTAATTCCTGATCTTTCCCCATCGTTATTTATTTTACATCCAAAGCATCCTCTGATTGTGTGTGTAGTGTTGCCCAGAGAGCTCCTCTGCGGATCCTCCCTCTTGCGATGGAGCTGCAGGGCGCGATGATGATGATGATGATGATGATGCACTGGCGGAAGGATGCTCGAATACTATAGAGCTGGTGCAGCTGGCTCCTATGAATCACAACAGATGTTCTTATTCCGATGTCGAGAAAATAATATTAGCACCACTGTGACGGACTTGCGATTAACGCATCGGTGATGGATCGGATCTTCAGTCTCTGTTGTGATGGCCAAAACTGAACAGTCTGTTCTAGAAAACCATCATCAGATAAATCAGCTCCAATCACGTTTTGGTGGCGTGAGCGGAGTTGATGCGATGCATTCAAATATGCTAAATCAATGTTTCTTTAAATTCCCACGAGCGTTTTTTCCTGGGATCCGTGAGGCTGTGCTGAAGACGCATCAGTCGGCGGTACCATCGCTCCGTAGTAGCCTACTCGCACCGTTATTTTCTGTGCTGCGATGGGTCCACACAAGGACCGTGCAATGTGCATTTCCCCAGCCTCGGATTGGGCTGACATTGCTGTGGTAAATGGCTACGCTTCATCCAGAGGGCGGTCCCAAAGTGTAGGAACACCCCCCTATTCCAGTGCTGACAGCCACATGCTACGGGACATCATAACACACGCTGCTGAAAACAGCCTTGTCCTGTAGCTGGCACTTTTGTTTTGTACCCACCGGCCAAAAGTGGATGGCACCAGATCAGAAACATAACTCACCTGAGCACTATACAGAAACCCGTTTAACTTTAGACCTTGAAACGAACTTGTATTTTTTATGCTATTAGTAATTATTTTTAATTAGCATATAATCTCACTAGTAGCCTATGTAATGAATTAGTCACTAATAATAGCCTACTTCCTTACTAATAGTGCAACAGTGGCAACTATCCATTGTCAAACATTGGTAAATTGTCACTAGTAACAAATATTAACAAAATGTAATTATAAAGTAGCCATTTACATGTGTATAAAGCAAATAACAAATTACATAAGAAATGTTACCAACAACAATAAATATTATTTTCTCATAAATACATGCTTATAACAAATCAGTCACATGTGGAAGAATTAGTAAAAGAATCATGATTAATATGCAATGAAAAACTATTAGTGATTAATTAACAGTCTCTATTGGATTAAGTAGCATCTAATGAATAAATACTACACTAATGAGATATTTAATAATTTGGTTAATAATAAAATATATTAGACACTATTAAAAAATATTAAAAAGTATTAGTCACTATTTGATTACTAGTACTAATAATAATAATAATAACTAGTAACATAAAATACATACTAGTTAGTTCAAATAATTTTTTCCCCAATTTATCTCCATGGATGCTGGACGGTTAATTTCCAAGTGCAAGATTGAGCATTTCAGACCTGCACTGTCTAGGATGCTACTGATTTATGGTATTTTCCTTGGTTCCGTTTTTCTTACAAGTTTAAAAAAGGACCTAAATTAACACTTGCAGTTTTGTTTTTCTTGCCTCTCAAATCCAGCAAATGCTGTCAGTTCTTCAGTTTGATGGAGCCTGAAGATTACAAATTAGGGTACAACAAGAGCTTGGCTGCATGAAGCCTACAAAACAAAACTGTTCCCTGAATGCCTGGTCAGAGTTATTGTCTTACTACATGGGGTTTCTTTCAGATTCTTATATCCAAGTCAAAGCACAATGACCCTCTTTCAGAGCAGAATCCAGTCATGACTGTCATGTTCTATTCACAGCTACTTAACACTAAATTTACCACTTCAGAAAAAAAATAGAGACATTTCTCAAAATATCTTATTTTATGTTCCGCAAAAGCAAAAGTCATATAGGTAATGTGAGAGAAAGTAAATGTTGACAACTGAACTATCCCTTTGTCATTTTATTGCGTAAAAACACTGAGAAAAAAAACTTCTTAAGTCCATATAATGTTTCATCTTCAAAAGTGAACTCTCAAAATCCTTTGTAGCTCTGATCTGAATCAGTCTGATTATTAATAGTAATATCCAATCCCAGAATGTTCTGTAGCACACTGTATGGGACCAGATTCCTGTCTCTAAAGTATTGCAGTCACGGATTAAAAAAATAACAAGCGTGAAAACAAAATTTAAAAACGCAAGTAAAAATATTAATATTTCAATTTTGTGCAATATGATTTTAAATGTGTTTAAAGTTTTGATTCATGCTTATTATTTTTTTAAATGCGTTATTAATTTTTCTGATTTACGCTTATTATTTTTCTATCCGTGACCATTGTTTGCTATACTGAAAACTTTGCTTTCATTTTTAAATCTTGTGCAATATATTTTTACTTGCGTTTTTAAATTTTGTTTTCACGCTTGTTATTTTTTTATCCGTGACTGCAAAACTTTAGACGGGTATCTGATCCCATACCACTGGTTTAGTAGTAATTAAAAATAAAAAAATCAATTAGCAACAACACAAGATATGAAATCTTTGCGAAAACATTTAACAAACAGATGACAAACTAATGATATGAAAAGCCGATCTGTTGCACTCGTGTTTTAACTCTAACATGAACTGTCATTGATTCGCCCTAATCATCACCATCATTAATACCTGCACATCCTTCATCCAGACATTACTGACCATGTACAACATCTGTTGACTGTGATCCAGCGCCATCCAGTGTTACATAATAGAAAATCCGTTCTAAGATGCCACATCACAATTGCAGACCTCTAGTGTTCACTGCGTACATTACAATTCAGTTGTCAATTTTTTTTTTTTTCCAGAGAGAATGCAGTGAATGGGTGGAGACAGGCCTCTTGTAGCTACCACCCTTTCTAAAGACGCTGTATTCAACTCCAATGAAACGTGAGAATATCATATTTCATGTAGTCTCACACACTTTTCTGACAGTTCTGAAAGCTTTTAGCAGACAGATTTTTCAGCAACAATTTAAATAATATTAAATAAGTAAAATAATAAGTGCTTAATTCCTATATTCTTGTGCAATAAATATTTCAATACATAATGGGTTAAACTATAAATTACGTTTTTTTTCACAGCCAGCTTTGCAAGAGGAAGAATATTTAAGGAGAAATATCCCAGCATCAAGCACTGTTAGTCACGCAGACTACAGGTGAACTGCATATCACAGGAGTGATATTTTACATTTGCCTAAAGAATACATATGATGTTCATGTTACTTCATAAGTGATAACGGGTATTTGGCTTGCTGTACGCAAAGGAAGGGCTCAAGGATGAAGCTCAACTCAAGCTCCAATTTACCGCCTATGAGACTACTAAATAGATGAAGATAGCTTCTGTATATAGGGCAGAATATCTTAAAGGAGTGAGGATGGAGGTGGGGAGGAGGAGAAATGCCAGAAGGACTGTTGCTAAAGTGAGCCAAGCAGCAGCTTATATATAGGTTGATTAGATGATTAAATAAGCGGCTCCTTCTGAACCCTATAAGAATTTAATTGAGAGGCAAACATACTGTAATAGAAGGGCTTTGTTCTTCAAGCTGTAAAATTTCATATAAAATGCCATCCATTTCATGAGTCATCACAAAATAACACTGTATGAGTATGTATAATTGGCTTTCATTGCCCACACAAAGCAGCTACTAAACCTGGTGCTACAACAGTGAACACATTTAACATCAGCATAGTAAACACATATCCTGACTGTAGCCAACTAATCAAAAAAATAAAAAATCACCAGCACAGCAAATTATTACACACTTTACTCTAACATTAAACTGCCACTGAAAACCCCATATGAATTATTAATTATATATGTCTCTTAATTATATAATACTCTCTTTTCACGTCAGGTAGGCAATGTAATTTATCACAAGATTCCAAATCTTATAAATTAATATATTAAATATAGAAAATATATAAATAATATTTTAAATTTTTTTTTAAACGATAAGTTTGCGTACGAAACTCTAGATAGTATATTTAGCAATAAATAACACAAAATAACTAGGCACTATAATCTCTGTAGCTAAACAGTCTACTCTCATATTCCACAGTATTCCGCTTTGTGACAACGTTGTTTGTAGATGTTCGTTCTGAAAGTCTTGGCCTTTGATACTGTTCATAAATAATAAACATCTGCAAGGTAATCGCTCTCATTTTACGATTAACACAAAGTTACCTTCACTTGTTGTTTGACGCCAAAGGACCTGACGCCTTCATGCGCTTTGGGTTTTTAACAAAAGATGGGGCGGGGTCAAGAGAGGTTTAATCATCTGATTGGCTAGAGCTGACTGCAGACAGGAGGAAAACACAGCACTGCGGCATCTGATTGGATGACAGGTTTGTATCAAAGTGAAAATATGTGCCTTGAGCTCTTTACTGTTGCCGGGGCGTCAATGGCGGAACTCCGCGGCAGAAGTTAATATGACACAAGATAGGATCGCCTAAGGTAATACAGCAAAAAACGCTTAATAATAGCATATGTTTTTGTTACAGTTTATTTTTCATTGCTAAGTTAGAGATGTTGTCTTTTCGTGAGCAGGTTTATAGGTGGAGCAGTTTGAAGAGCTTACTGTAAAACTCTGATGAGTTAAAGTGATGAGTGTTGGTGTGGCGATCCTCATACAGTAGAAGAGCCTCGTGAACTGCTGCTTTTTGAGTTTGAAAATAATTGCTAAATATTTTAGATGTTTTTCATAGCTGATGTTGATATTTACTATGTGTGCTGCTCTTCTGTCATCTGCCTTTCATTTCTACCGTTTTTGGACATGTATAAACATGTTGAGTGTGCACGGTGCATCATCATGGCCCTTAAGAGAATTACTGCACTTTACATAGCAGTCCTGTTATGCTTGGATTGGATGTTTTTATGTAAGAGCATAAGTGTAAAGCTGATGGGCAGCAGAATGCAAAAGACCTCTGATAGTTTATAAACACTTCTGTTTGTGTGTTTGTTTAAAGGGGTCATTTGATGCGATTTCAATTTTTCCTTTCTCTTTGGAGTGTAACAAGCTCTTGGTGCATCAAGAAGATCTCTTATTTACTTCATCTTAATAGAAGGGCCCTTTAAACCGTGGCCCTTATCAGTGAACGGTCACCGATTGTGAAGTAGGACACATAATCCTCAGATCAGAGACATCTCACACTGGAATTCCCAACATTGTCTTTTGGCAGCAGATTTTTATTTTTTTGCCATTGAATCTAGGTCATTCGTGTCCCTGTGAAAGTTAGCCAGTCCTCCGCTGTACTCCCTGATGGATTCACTTGTGGGAAAGGATTCTGCAAGAGTAATAGATAATGTAATTGCTTGTCTTAATGCTCTTTGCCTAGATTACTAACCCCAGTCTGGATGAGATCCCTGCTGCTAAATCAGAGGATTAGACTGTGATTTTGGAGAACCCCTCCCTTTGCCTTGATCATGAATTGTCAAAATTTGCTAAATATGCCGCTGTTGCAACTCATAACATTTTTTTAGGCATTGATCATAAGGTAGATGTTTGTGGAAACTCACAGGCTTGTTGGTGCAGGTCACATTTTGTAATTAAGTTTTCTCTCACATAGGTGTATAGATGAAAGGGTGCTTTTGAGAGTTAA